GGGCGGGCCAGGCTCCACGCTGCCACCGCGCTCCGCCCCGCCGGTGGCTCAGAGCCCTCTCCCTCCTCCCCTCTCCTCCCCTCCCCTCCCCTCCACTCGGGGGCGCCTGGGCAGCGCACCTTCCCCTGCTAGGAAGTGAAACGAAGCGGGGAGCGCAAGGCAGAGGCCCAGCCTCCTGGAAACCTGATTCTGCCGCCAAGCGAGTGCAGGGCACCTCTTTTTTTGGGTCTCAGCTTCCCCACTTCTACCAGGAGGATTTTAAGCAAAGGCAGAGTTATCTATAATAGAAAAGGTAGGCAGATTTTCATCTCTGCGGGGTCTGGAATTCAAGATTTTGAGATCGGAGGTCTTCCAGAGTGATGGAGCAAAGCTAGCCAAGAGGCGGTTACACTTTACTTCCTGTGAAGCGACAGGTCGGTCCCGCGTCCCGTTAGCCCATACCAGCCAGGGCTGCTATGAGCCCAAGCTCTTGACAGAGGTCATCTGTGAACACACAGTTCCGACAGAGTGGGTGGCGTCCTTAGGTAAGAGAATGGAGTGTCCAAAACGACTTGACAACAAAGTCCCGCGTTCTTAAAAGGGCAACGCTTTTCCAGAATAAACCACTTAAACCTGAACATAAACTTAAGGTGTTTTAAAAAACAATTGGCTCGTACAAAGAAATCTGTATAGGCCTAGAGAAACGTCTCATTTTGGATAATCATGGGAAAGGTTTTGGTGGGGCAGACTGTAACAAGAGCAACTCCATGATCCTGGATTATAAGTTATGAAGAAACACTTGAGACCTTCAGTTAGCGTAATGGCTATGTCGCTGGACTCCCATGTAGTGGACTGTGGTTCGAGTCCCAGACCAGGTGGCTTAAACTCACGCCTGGGATGGAGGAGAAGGGATTGCGGCATGGCCATCCCTCCTGGCAGGTGATTTCTCGCTTTCTGTCTCTCTGTCTCTGTCTTTCTGGCAAGAGCACACACACCCTATAGCATGGACCTCCCCCCACCCACAAAAAAAAAAGTTATGGAGAAACACCCATTAAGGGAAAACTCTGTTTCTCACGGAAATACATTCCTATAAAACCCTCATAGCTGTAGGAAAATGCTCTTTTAAGGGGTGCTATATATTTAAAAATATAGCAATGATTTAATATTTCAGGTTGTTTTTAAAAAATAAACATTCTTGCTGTGGAATCAAACACGTGAAACTTGTATACCACATAACACATAAATTCATCACTTGATGCACTGCTGCCTGGTCAGTAGACATCCCAGAGGCCCAGAAGCCAACCTGGCCTGGTGACTTTTCCTTAAAGACGCTCACTTTCTTGATTCTTAATGGTAATTTTGTCCTTATTTTCTTCTGCCTTTTGCCTTCATTTGTTCAAGTCTGTGTTGTGGGATTAATCTGCGAGTTCTCAAGCAGGTGTAGTCTGTTCTGGGCATTTCCCACTCTATGAATATGCTACAGTTTAAGAAAATGCATTTCCGGACCAGAAGGTGGCATAATGGTTACATTGCTGGACTCCCATGTAGTCGACCCTAGTTCGTGTCCCAGACCAGGAGGCTTAAAACTCATCCTAAGTGCATGCACATGAGTTCCCAAGATCCTGAGAGGAGAATGCAGAAGGGATTGTGGCATGGCCATCCTCCCCGGGGAGTGATTTCTCACTTTCTGTCTCTCTGGCAAGCACATACTCCCTATAGCAAAAATCTCTCTCCTAAAAAGAAGAAAAGAAAAAGCATCCCATTAATGAATAATGGATATTTAGTTTTTTCTCAGGTTTTAGCTATCATGGGTAATGATGCTGTGAGCATTCTTCACCAGTACCCTCCTGTACAAGTGTCCAGAGAGCTGCCAGGTTATCGAATGCATTAACAAAAGTTGAAACATTTGAGCCATTCTGGAACATGAGTAATGACAGCTTATTGAGGTTTGACCTTGAACTTGGCTCTGTCCTATACTGAACACATTTTCATGTTATGGGCCACCTGTATTTCCTCTTTCGTGAAGTGTGTGTTCAAATGTATTATCCGTCATTCTTTTTTTTTTTTTTTTTAGAGATTTTTGCTATAAAGTGCGTACATTTGCCAGAGAGAAAGAGAAAGTGAAAAATCACACCCCGTCCTGGGGAGGGGGGATGGCCACACTGCAATCCTTTCTCCTCTGGGATTTTGAGCACACATGCACACACACACTTGGCATGAGTTTCAGGCCTCCAGGTCCAATGGTGGTCAGCCACGTGGGAGTCCACATGCTACCCCCCGTAATAATTCTGGATAGCCTTTGTTTGTCCGGTATATTCTCTGTGTGTATATATGTATGTAGTTACATATATGATACATACATAAACGTTTTTAACTCTATATTCTAGTTTATACTTAACTATTCCTTTTTACTTTCTTAATATTTTTGAAGCATTTTTTTCTGTGAAAGAGACAGAATGAGGAGGGGGGGAGAGACACTCCACAAGCGCCTTCACACTGTGACCCATGCCCAGCCTCATCCAGCCGGGCTCACAGGCCTATGCACACACCTGGCATGTACAGGGAGCCTCTGGACGCGAACCTGAGACTTTCCCAGGCGGCTTCAGCATCACGGAGTGTTGCATTACTACCACCTCACACTTAGTAACTTCTTTTGATGAATAGGTGACCTTAGTTTTAATAGTCTATCATCCTTTCTCTTTATTGATAGCACTTTCTATGTCCTGCTTAAAAGCTGGTTCCTCGTCCTTGGTAATAAAGGCGTCTTTCCTATGCTATCTTCCTACTTGATCCTTTCGCACTGCGGTTTTCAATGGTATGAGGTAGGGATCATGTGTCATTTATTTGTCAAACTGTCGTAGCATCAGATTAGTCTGTCAGTTACATCAACAAATTGTTTTGTTTTAAAAAGTAATGGAAACGTTTATAAAGTCAGTGAAATAGAAACTACCAAAAAAAATAAAAAAATAAACTTCCTCTTCTATAGTTGTAGACAATTTGAGGACTTTTGCTTTGTGATGGAAATAAACCATTACTTAAAAATAAATGTAGACTGCTTTATTTTACTTAAACATTTGTGTGCTGAGATATTTTGATTTCATCACAAATCTTTAATCACTGGCATGAGTGTTCCTGAATTTTGAATAATGTTATTTGTAAATGTTAAATAGACATTTTTAAAAGCTAGGAAGGTAACTTCAACATGTTTGTAATGAAAACCTTGGGCTAGTTCAGTGGCCCAGAAATAATATGCTGCTTGAGTGACACTGGTGCCACACGGGAGATCAGGGTTTGGTTCCCCAACCGATCTGTACGCACTGGCTGTGCCCCGATCATGACTGGATAGAAGTGTGTATGCGTGTGTGTGTGTGTGTGTGCCTGACTGGATAGAAGTGTGTGTGTGTGTGTGTGTGTGTGTGTGTGTGGTGATTATGGTGTGAAACTCTGTTGAGGTTGTTTCTCTGTCTCTCATGAAGTAAATTTTTAAAAGTTTTAAATACCAGGTCTTTACCTTCCTCTCTGTTCTCACTTTTCCTTGATCTTCTCAAATTAAGAACAAGTGGGAAAGAAGTTTGATCTCTACCCTGATTTTCTCTATTGAATTCCACTCTGAGTTTCCAATAGGCTATACAGCTCTTCACACGGAGGTCTAACTATTGGCTCAAATTAAAATTTCCAAAACCAAATTTTTAAGCATCCCGCTCAAACTGATTAAGGATCAATCCTAGTCACTCAGATCGTAAGCCTTGGCTTCTCTCTTTTCCCGTCTTCTTACAAATAAATATTTATGTTTGTATATAAGTTCTGTTTTAATAACTCTAACTAAAAACTCCATAAAGTCTTCCATTTTTTCCTCCACTCCCATTTTCCCCCATTGTTCCACTGCAGCCCAGGGGTTCCTGACCTCATCTCTGGACAACTGCTAAAGGCCACAACTATTGGTTTGCCAGCCCTTCTGCCTACTGATTAGCGAGCTGATGATGAGTGCTCGAGGTGTGCAAGATGTCGGTCTGCCTTGTTGTGGGTGATAGACAGCGGTGTGCTGGAGCCACTTAGGTGAGGCACACTCAGTGACATCACATCATTAGCTGGGAATCAACCATGGTGGGGATATTTACAATACTTGAATTGTCTGTCTCTACGAATCAAGGCTCACCGCTCCATTTACCAAAAGCAGCTGTCAAAGGGTTACCAGTAATGACTGAGACCCAGCCTTCCTTCAAGGGGCTCACAATCTAGTTGGGATGATTGGCTCAGGCTAGGTAACACCATAAGCCACAGTGAGAGATGGGCACCTGGAAAGGCATCATTGATGCAGTAGAAGGGAGCATGCAGGAAGGCTTCCTGGTCAGCCTGGGAGGCCAGGCAGGATGCCGACGAGAAAAACGGTGGGGCGGATATAATGGGCTGCAGGCTGAGGGAACAGGCTAAGCAAGGTTTAGAGGGGAGCCAGGCTTGCTTTAGCATGTCAGTGGTCCTGGATGTACAGGCATGGAGTTTAGGAACCAGATAAAGGTCTAGCGTGGCTGAAGCAGGGAGTGGTGAACAGCACGGTTGGGTCTGGGGACTGTGGAGGGCCTGGATCTTAGGTCTTGACACTCTCTTGGCAATAAGAAGCCCCTCAACATTTGGAGTGAAGGGCACGCTGGTTTGCCTGTGTTGCTCCTCTAACAAAGCTGAAGTGCTAGAGACTCAGGATCGGTCTTCGCTTGCGGCTCTGTGGTGCAGTGGTAATGTGCCGCTCAAGAGAAGCCAGATCCCCCATGACGGCTGTGGTTCAATTCTCTGGTCTTGTCAGCCTGAAACACACCAGGCATATGTTTAAGGGCCGAAGATTGGACAGGCTGGAGGACCGCGGGAGGGGGATCATAGTGTAGCCAGACCCTGTGAAGGGTGCCCATCTGTGTGTCATGTGTGCACATACATGTTCCATCATAAATAAAGGGGAAAACAACTTTAAAAAAGGATAATAAACTTAGAAATAACAAGGTAGTCCGTTTTTATATTGATAAACATTTTTATTCTAATATTATAGTAATAATTCAAGTGCAATTTCCTTTGAAAAGTCAACTCTGTTAAAACATAACTTGTTAAATATCTTTCATCAAACATAGCATACTTTTTTTCAATCCCCCACAGCAGTCAGAGCCATGTAGCAGAGAGAAGATTTTTTTTGAAAGCCTACTACATTTTGTTATTGCTAAAAAATCTGAATTAGTTGTCAAGGTCTCAGGAGCAGTGATTAATTAATTTTTGAAAGCTCTACCAGATACTCTGACATAAAATCATGAATCCAGATATCTGTGTCTGGCAGTGACGTGTCCACCAAGTAGACCACAGCTTTCCGGTCCCAAGGGTTAGCGTTTTCGATGACCGTGTGCACCAGTGCCACCAGAGGCTTCTTCTCCACGTGATTCCGAAACACCATCGAAGCCTCCTCAGACCACTGGTTGCACTTCACTCCTAGGAGAAAGAAGGAGGTAAGGAAGAGGTGAGGGGCTGCAGGAGTCTTTCTTTGGTTCATTACAGTGGAAAATGACTGAGTCAGTTCCAAAGTAGATGAAGTATCTCAGGATAGACTTGCCTAAACAGAGCAATAGTTGTTGGACAGCCTTGAAAAAGAGCGGTCACTTTTGTAAACACAATCCCAAGGTTTTTTTTTTTTTTTTCTTCTTTTTAAAATGTTTTCTAGAGAGATACAGATAGAGACGGAAAGCAATAATGCACCCCCCCCCTCCATGGGGCAGGGTCACACTGCAATCCTTTCTCCTCCACCTCTCCCACCTTCTGGGGTTTGGGGTATGCCCAGAGTGATTTTCAAGTCGCCAGGTCCAGGACTCACACTGCTCTGTCGGCTGTATGGGATCCAGCTGCCTTAGCCACCTGGCCATGCATGGGCTGACCGACAGACCCCAGTTCTACCTGAGATTGAGTGCTGTATTATAAAATGAGTGGCAGCTGGACGTTTCCCACACATAACCTAGATGGAGGTTTAAGTCACTGAAATAACCGAGATAGCAACGGGGAATAAAACAGCAATACCGATATTAACGGCATTTCTCATAAAGACTTTTTCTGATGGACAAAATACAGTGAAAAAGAAAAGAGGAAAAAAGAATTGCTATATGGTCTATTTACAGTATAAACTCTCAAAGTTA